TAGAAGCAGTCCCTAGGAGGGAACCTGCTCTGATTCCATGTGAAACCAAAGAACGAGAATGAAATGACTATGAACGAAGTGAGTACAAATAGGAAACCCTAATTGGGTTGTACCCCCTATGGGATACCCCACTATAGCCTACAGAAACAAGTAAGCTATAAGTTCTGACAAGGACCCCCAGAGGGGTCAGCCAGGGAGACTGCAACCGGCCGACCAAGCGGCGTGAGTGTGGTGCGGTCTCGAAAGAAGGAGCGAGAAGCCCCTGAGTCAAGTGTGAAGGTGAGGGAGGCCAAAGCCGACGCAGTACCTGAGAGCGCAGCCTCACCAGTACCTGAGAGTGCAGACGCACTTGCACCTAGAGCAGTAGCCTCACAAGCACCTAGCTCAGCAGTGCCAATGCCCGGGTCGGGCGGGAAACACCGGTAACAGTCACCCTCATCACTAATAGTGACAGCATACATGGCAGCAAGGATAGCATCAAAGTCAAGATCAAAGATCGCTACGCCAGCCCTAGACAGCTCTCCCCAGCGGGGAATCTCACTAGCCTCGGGGAACTGCTGACGCCAAGCGTCCGTCAGGCGGCCAAAGCAGCGCTGGGTGGAGTGGGCACCCCCACACTGCTCACCCGCGCGGTCGCCAGAACGAAGAACGTAGGTGCACGGGCCAAGACCCCCACCACGCTGACGCTGCGTGTACCACTCACGGAGCTGCTGAGGCGGGGGGATGTCCCGAGAACGCTGCTGCTGCTGCTGCTGCTGGCGCGGACCACCACCAGAGCCGCTCCGCTGCGGGGCAGTACCCCGACCGGCTCCACCTCCTCTGCCACCGCCGCCTCCACCTCCGCCACCACCGCCGCCTCCGCTCCCACCGCCGCCGCCGCCACCGCCGCCGCCTCCGCTGCCGCCACCACCACCACCACCCCCACCACCACTCCCACCGCCACCCCCACTCCCTCCGCCACCGCCACTGCCACCTCCACCGCCCCCGCCAGCTCCACCCGCGCCCTTGCCCCCCTTGCCCTTGCCAGGGCGGCGTCTCCCGCTAGGGGCAGACGCCGCACCGACCGACTCAAGACCAAGCAGATCGGCAGCAGCAGCAGAGGCAACAGAGGGCAGCAGGGGGGAAGGAGAACACCCCTCAAAGATGGGGGTGCGCGGGTCACCACGAGAGGCTCCTACAGCGACTATGCTCTTCTCCGCCGCTAGGAGGGCCTTCTCGAGGAGGTCGACAGTGAGGGTGGTGGGACAGACTGAGAGAAAGTGGTCCCTGACTACGCGAAGGGAGTCGGGGAGGCGAGTGACTATGTACTAGAGAGCGATGTACATGGAGGGGGGGGTTCTTGGCGCAGAACTCAGCAGGAAGTGCGGCGCGGTAGCGAGTGTCAGAAGTGCGGAGGTGCGTGATGAGGTCAGCGACTGTAGGAAAGGCAGCAAGGTCAGGAAAGAGGTACGGTAGCATCAAGCGGCTCAGTGTAGCAGTGGCAGGGGAAGAGTAGCGCGCAACTACAGCGTCGTACAAGGTCTGAGCACTCTTGTACTGACCAAAGTGCGCGCGCTCAGTGGTAGGCAGGTGGCGACGCACAGCAAGACGTGCAGCAGCATCGCGGGTGGCCCACTGAGAGCAAACAGTGGGGTCAGCAGCAGCAGCAGGAGCAGGGGAGGCGCCAGAGGTGAGGTCAAAGAGAGAAAGACCGTCCGCCCTATCGCACTGTAAAAACAGCTGCAGGTTGTCGACCCTGACCTCAAAGTCAATGGCTCGACCCTCAGCGTCAAAAGCGAGGACACTAGGGGTAGCCATGACGACAGACTAGCAGTGCAAGCAGTGGGGGAAGGGCACGCAGTAGCAGTGGGGCTGTGCTCACCAGACAGGTCAGGTCGGGCGGCTCGGTAGCGGGGCGGCTCGGCGGTACTGCGGCTCGGTGGCTCGGCGGCTCGGCGGCGGCTGCTGGGCTGCTCGGCTGTACTGCGGCTCGGCGGCCCGGCGGCTCGGCGGTTGCTGCTGGGCGGCTCGGCTGAACTGCGGCTCGGCGGCCAGGCGGCCCGGCGGCTGCTGCTGGGCGGCTCGGCTGCTTCGGTACCGGGCGGCGTGGCGGGCGGCTGCTCAGGCGGCTCGGCAGGAGGGGAGACCGGCGGGGCCGCGAAGGTGAGGCGGCGGGGCCGCTACGTGAGGGCGGCGGGGCCGCGAAGGTGAGACGGCGGGGCCGCTACGTGAGGGCGGCGGGGCCGCGACGTAAGGGCGGCGGGGCCGCGTAGGTAAGGGCGGCGGGGCCGCATAGGTAAGGGCGGCGGGGCCGCGTAGGTAAGGGCGGCAGGGCCGCGAAGGTGAGGGCGGCGGGGCCGCGAAGGAGAGGGCGGCGAGGCCGCGAAGGTGAGGCGGCGGGGCCGCGACGTGAGGGCGGCGGGGCCGCGACGTAAGGGCGGCGGGGCCGCAACGTGAGGGCGGTGGGGCCGCGACGTGAGGGGGGTGGGGCCGCGACGTGAGGGCGGCGGGGCCGCGACGTGAGGGCGGCGGGGCCGCGACGTGAGGGCGGCGGGGCCGCGACGTGAGGGCGGCGGGGCCGCGACGTGAGGGCGGCGGGGCCGCGACGTGAGGGCGGCGGGGCCGCGTAGGTAAGGGCGGCAGGGCCGCGTAGGTAAGAGCGGCGGGGCCGCGTAGGTAAGGGCGGCGGGGCCGCGTAGGTAAGGGCGGCGTAACGGGCCGCTAGGGGCGACACGGAGGGTCGCTAAAAAAAAAGGAACGCGCGCCTCGGAGCGCGCTTCGGTGGGCCCTGGGAACAGTCCCTAGGAGGGGACCTGCTCTGATTCCATGTGAAAGAGTGAACGCGAATGAATGAACTATGAATGAAGTGGGTACAAGTACTAACCCTAATTGGGTTGTACCCCCTATGGGATACCCCACTATAGCCTACACAAAAGCATAAGCTATAATGTTCTGACACGTGGACCCGCGGATCGCCCTGTGGCCCCCCTCCCCGCACACCTGAGTTCGCTTACCGCACACCCGCGTTCGCTTCCCGCACGCTTGTGCACGCTTCGCGCACGCCTGAGCTCGCTTACCGCACACTCAGGGTATGGGGGTGACGGTTGTGGGGATGCCAATTGTGTGCGCCGTTCCCTGCTCCTCCTCCTCCTCCGTCTCTCGCTGCTGCAGCTGCCGCTCAGGGGGGTGGGTGTGTGGGAGCCGAAGGAGTGGTGCTAGGGGGGTGACGTGGGAGTGGAGTTAGGGGTTCAGCAGGGGGTGTGTGTCAAGGGTGTGGGTCAGTTGGAGGAGGTTGTGTGGAGGTAGCTCTTGTGTCGCCTGCAGCGCCTGTAGTCCGTCGCCCTTGCTTCGGTAGCCAGTGAGCCTGTTGCACCAGTCGCCAGTGGGTCCGTTGCTCCTGCCGCTCGTCTATAGCCGCGGAGCCAGTCACTCCAGTAGTCCGTCGCCCTTGCCTCGGTAGCCACTGAGTCAGCCGCTCCTGTGCCCGTGCCTCTGCAGCTTCAGTCGTTGCCTCCCATCTTCCCTCCGTCCACAGTACTCTCCTCCTCCTCACTTGCCCTCTGTGATAGCCTCTAGCTTTGCTTGCCATTGTGAACCTGCTCTATGACTGTGTGCTCTGCAGATTACACCCCACTTTGGCTATGGGAGTGTGTCAGAATGTTATTATCTAGCCTGTAGTGGGGTGCTCTATAGCAAGTACAACCCTGTTAGGGTTTGCTATATGTATCCCAACTGCTGTTAGTGAAACCCCTCTTTTGCCTATCTCTCTCTTGCCTAGCTAGGTAAACCCTAGCTATGGCTACTTCATTCTAACTACTATTTTGACATTACGGACCGCTGTGGCGGTGCACGGACTCCTAAGGCAGCACGGAGGGCAGCAGTGGGCCGCGCGTGGGCCTCTAAAGCGGCGCGTGGTGCAGCAACGGGCCGCACACGGGCTCCTAAGGCGGGGCACGGTGCAGCAGTAGGCCGTGCGTTGGCTCCTAAGGCGGCGCGCGAGCAGGGGCGGGCTACACACCGAAGGAGGCGACGCAAGGGGCCGGCGGCAGGCTACGCGGGCGGCTTAGGCGGCGCTCGGGCCGGCAGCAAGCTGCACGGGCGGCAGATGCGGCGCGCAGGGCCTAAGCGGGCTGCGCGTGGGCGGCTTACGCGGCGCGCGGGCCGGCGGCAGGCTGCGCGGGCGGCTGACGTGGCACGCGGGGCCGAGACCGGGCCTAAACGAGCCTAAATGGGCCGCGCGCGGGCTGCTTAAGTGACGCGCGCGGGGAAAAAAATGGGGCCGCGCGCATGCAGCCAAGGCGCGCGCGGGCAGTAGGCAAGGCAGGCAGGCAAATGAGGTAATGCGGTAACGGGTGGGCCATAATCTTAGGTCCTAAAGACCTCTAGGCTCTATATACCATCTTAAAGTATAGGCATGAGTGAAGTTGGACTGTCGAGAAAATTGGTACAAAGGAAAAACCTAAGGGGTTGTACCCCACAGTGAGTACCCCACTAAGCCTACCCAAACTATAAACATAGATATATGTTTGACAGAGCGCGGGGCGGTGGGCCCATGGGAATCGAACTGCTCTATACCATATCAACGTGGTAATGGAATAATGAACCAACTAAGGAAAGAACAAACAAGCAAGATATAGGAAACCTAACCCTAACCCTAGGAAAGAGATAGTACACATAGACTAAGCTATAACAAACATAGCTTGACATTCGACCCTTCCTACACTGGTGACGTGGAGACCCAGCAGTGGTGCTCAGATTGTGTGGTGACTTCATGATCCACCTTGAGGTTTGCTGTGGTCCCTCTCTTGACTGGTTTTGTGACCACTTGCTTGTCTTGGTCAATTTGATGCCCCTCACTTAGGCCATGTGGTGCGGCGTGTCAAAACTATGTTTGCATGCATTGTTAGTTAGCCTGTAGTGAGCTGCATGCTAGGGGGTACATTCTTTCACCCGACAATCTTGTACTCCTCCCCTTAGACCTTATCCACATTCCGCTGTTTCTATAAGAACGGTGACCAGCACTACTGATTATAGTTATCCAAGCCCATGTCTCTTAGTGCAGCAGAGCACACGTCACGGCATGACTTGTGTTTGCTCTTGACGTTACGAATCACAGCCTCCAGTCCCATCTCCAACATTATTGGCCTGTGCCAAATAAGGGGGGGAGGGGGAGGGGGGGAAGGAAAGGAGGAGAGGGGGGGGGAGAGGGGATGGGGGAAGAGGGGGTGTTCACCCCGACCCGACGACGACTACATGCCTGTCAAAGGATGCTCAGCAGCAGATGACCTACTGCAGCAGGAGAGGAGAGACATGCACAAGCATACAAGCAAGGGGGCAGCGAGTCACGAAGGAGCGCAGTTGTGCAGACAGCAGAGGGGGCAGCAGAGGGGGCAGCAGAGGGGGCAGCAGGGGGAACAGGGGAGAGGCGCACCGGTGTTCGGGGTTGCGCACAGCGAGGTTGCGCAGCAGCTGGCACGCCTGCCACTGGCTGCCCGACGTGGCAGCGCCCCCCTCCATGGCGTCCACCGCCGCCTCCAACACACCCGTCCCCACCGCCGCTGCTGCATGCGCTGGGCTGCGCAGCGTCACTGCTGCCAGACACGCCAGCAGCTGCATGGGGGGCGGGGCCCGCATGGTCGGGGAGTGCGGAGGGATGGGTAAGAGGTGAGTGGTGGGGTGAACGAACGTGCAGCCATGGGTGGTGGCAGGCAGAAGTTGCGGGGAGGTGAAGAAGAGGTGAGCGAGGTGAGGACGCAACGCAACAGGGAGGCAACGCAAGTGGCAAGCTGACTGTTTACGGGATTGCAAGGCGAGCATGCTAAGGCATGAGAGCATTGCACAGGAGCGAGGAGGGACGCGGCGAGCCGAGGACGCGTGATGTGCGAGGGGAGGGGATGGCAACGCACAGTCGCTTGGGAATGTTCCTCCCATCCCAATGATTCCGTGCGGACACGCAACCGTTCCCATCCACGTCCGTTCCACATTTGGATGGCAGAAAATCAGCAGCAGCACCCATACCTCTTGAAGCACAGCCCCATACCTCTTGAAGCACAGCCCCATACCTCTTGAAGCACAGCCCCATACCTCTTGAAGCACAGCCCCATACCTCTTGAAGCACAGCCCCATACCTCTTGAAGCACAGCCCCATACCTCTTGAAGCACAGCCCCATACCTCTTGAAGCACAGCCCCATACCTCTTGAAGCACAGCCCCATCGTCCACAAATACTTTCACTGCTTCCACCAATACTGGAATGCCACCTGTCTCCACAATTAGCACCTTGTTGGCGTCACTGCCTGCCAGCTGGCGATGGAAGAGAGAGGTAGGGAGGAAAAGATGCAGATTTGGACAAGCGGTGCAAGGAGCACGAGGGGAGGAAGAGGTTTGCTGAAAAGAGGAGGGCAGACTTAGCCTTGTTGAACAGAAAAGTGCTGTTGGTGGTGATGCAAAGTAGCGCTGGTTGCCACATGTACCAATCAGCATTCGCATTTCAAACGGCTAGATACTGGCACTTTCCTTTACTACTAACCTCCTGCACCAGCACCCACCTGCGCCAGCAGTGCGGCGGAAGGAGCAGCGAGGGGCGAGCAGCGTGTGGCGAGGGCGGCCTGCAGGTGGGCGAGCACGAGGGGCACCCCGGCGAGAGCAGCGATGCTGCGACAGATGTCCTCCTGGGGGCACACCGTGGGGAGTACGATGCGGAAAGAAGGTCACGGAGAGGGCCCAGATGGGAGGAAGGGGGCAATGGTGGTGGTGGTGGTGGTGCTGGTGGTGCTGGTGGTGGTGGTGGTGCTGGTGCTGGTGATGATCGTCGTTGCCGTCCACAGTGACAGCAGAAGCAGATGCAGAAGCTTCAGCAGCAGCCGCAGCAGGGGCATGCGAGCAGGCACGCTGTGAAGGTGCACATGCGAGGGGCACTCACGTTGACAGCAATGGCCTTGAGAGCAGCGAGCACGGAGGGCAGCACGGCGGTGTCAGCGGAGAAGGCAGCAGCGGCGCCCAGCAGCACATCCACGGCGCCTGCCTCCGCCACGGCACGCGCGTTGGAGAAGGTCTTGGACGCCGCCACGCGCACGTCATCATTCGTCACCAGCGCCCTCACCGCCCCACAGCACGCACACATGACGCTTCCTGCTTCTGCCACGTCGGTGACGCTGCTGTCCACGTCAGCAGTGCGTTTGGACTGCATGATCCCGCGAATGGCGTTGAGGAGTGCCACATGGAGCGCGGCGTCCATGAGCGCCTCCTTGATGACCTCGTTCTCCATGCTCGCTGCCCGTGCAGCGCGCGCAGCTGCTGCCACTCGAGTGAGGGTGCAGGAGGTGAAGGGCGGGGCAGGGAGGGCAGAGGCGAGGAGGGGCGGCCCGGAGAGACGGAAGAAATGGTCCCGTGCGCCGGGGACTGCAGTGAGGGGGGGAAGGGGGAAGGGATAGATCAATGAGAACCACACGAGTGAACTGGAAGGCATTGAGAAGGAGAAGAGTGCAGGATGCGTGAGTTGGGGCAGATACAGCAGGTGGGTGTGCTGCATGGGAGTTTGGTGGGAGCATGGTGGGAGCATGTGGCATGCATTGCTGTCTCACCATGGGAGAGCAGCGCCTCAGTGCATGTCAGCGCGTCACACACCGCCCTCTCCACCCTCGCGCCCCCTTCCTCGCCCTCCTGCCCATCCCCTCCCTTCTCCCCCCTCTCCACTGCCCCTAGCACCACCCCCAGCGCGCCCACAGCTGCCGGCAATCCCTCGTTCCGCCCCGCCACCACTGCTGCTTCCTCCCACCCCGTTCCACCCGCTGCTGCAGCTGCACTGTCTTCCCTCCCTGCGCCTTGCTGCTCCGCCTGCCCGCCCTGAGAGGGGCTCAGCGCGCGAGAGAGGGCGGACAGCGCGTGCAGCACTGCCTGGAGACCACGGGAGAGGGTGGCGTGGTGGGGCGAAGCGTAAGGTGGTGGCTGGAAGCTGCCAACACCCTTAGACGCACCCAAGCTGCCAACACCCTTAGACGCACCCAAGCTGCCAACACCCTTAGACGCACCCAAGCTGCCAACACCCTTAGACGCACCCAAGCTGCCAACACCCTTAGACGCACCCAAGCTGCCAACACCCTTAGACGCACCACACACACTGGCCCTTAGACGCACCACACACACTGGCCCTTAGACGCACCACACACACTGGCCCTTAGACGCACCACACACACTGGCCCTTAGACGCACCACACACACTGGCCCTTAGACGCACCACACACACTGGCCCTTAGACGCACCACACACACTGGCCCTTAGACGCACCACACACACTGGCCCTTAGACGCACCACACACACTGGCCCTTAGACGCACCACACACACTGGCCCTTAGATGCACCACACACACTGGCCCTTAGATGCACCACACACACTGGCCCTGTTCGGTGTGCACACGGCATCGGGCTAGGCGGAGGATCTGAAAGAACCCGTTCAGAGAGTTCCGTGCCGGCAGGTCTCCTCCGGCCCATCTTCGGAATTTTGCAGCTGACAAAAAAAGGATAGGTGCCTAATCGCGAAACTGCAAGGCATTTGAGCTGCAAAAAACCAGGGGTGATGAACGCAGTTTTAGCCTACCCGAACCTGAGCCGGGTAAAAAGCTTATATAAAAAAAACCTTATTTTCTGACAAACCCCAAGTGTGGATCTGGTACAGAAGAGTTTTGCACACGCTGGTGTTTTTTTTGCTCAGAACCGTTGAGTGCACGAGGGTGTTTTGACAGCAAGATGTGGACATTTTGGCGTGCTATTTCTAGTTTACCCTTCTACAATCCCTTCTGCTCTCTACCCACCCACCTCCCTGCCGACCTCCCCCACCCCCCTCCAAACACTCACAAGGAAGTCAGCACCGCTATAAGCACCTTCACCTTCGCCCCCCCCGTGTCTCTCCTTCCAGCGTGCCAGCGCCCCTGCAAGCTGTGCTGCTGCCGCTGCTGCGGGGTGCTGGGCGCGCTGCCCGGTGGCGCTGTACGCCGCCACGATGCCTGCCAGGCCATGCACGCGGGGTGGACGGGAGAACACTTTGCCAACGTGGGTAATAAGCTGCCCACAGCGCGTGCGAGGGCGGTGGAGGAGGACCTCACAGCGCGTGCGAGGGCGGTGGAGGAGGACCTCACAGCGCGTGCGAGGGCGGTGGAAGAGGACCTCACGGGACAACGAGTGGGTCGTCCATTCCTCATCATTCCCCCGCCAAGCTATCCACACCACACAGTGCACGGGCTTGCGAGGCGAATCAGACATGGGAGGGGCCGGGGAGCAGCGCACGGCGTAGTAGTGCCTGGGAGCGACAGGCGCACTGCTTTGAACGGCGCCCTCCCCGCGCCCCGCACTCGCTGCCCTCCTGCCCACGCTCCCCCCCCGCCCCCGCCCTCCCCCCTCAAACACACAAACCCACCATTGCAGCCGCGAGGAGGCGCGAAGCAACGGCGCATCTGCGAGGTCAGCGCCCTGCATGGTGAGGGGCGCACCTGCGAGGTCAGCGCCCTGCATGGTGAGGGTGCGCACGGCGTCGTCGACCGCCTCGGCCGGCGCCATGTCGAACTCGTCCATCGCCTCCCGCACCAGCGCGTCGAACGCCTCCTGCGTCACCGCGTGCTTGCCCGCCCCCATCGCCGCCCGCTTCCCGCTTCCGCCTGCACTCACGCACTTGGAGACGCGGAACAGCTGTGAGCACGGGGAGACGAAACGAAGAGGCGTCATCGCAAAACAGCGAGGGGGGAGGGGTAGCTTTAGGTTCAGGTGCTTCAAAGCTGCTAGGCCATACCTACCTTGCAGCTGCTTTCAAGGTGGGCGCTTCGGGAATCTGCGGAATGACAAAAGCTTCAGTTGGTGTGGAGCTTGCGCGGAGGAGTTTCATTGGTTCTCGATTCATACCTACAGGAAAGCTGATGTTAGCGAAATGCTTCGGCTTCGTTTACATTTCCTGTGTTTGCCTCGCCCATTTCGCCCGATCAATGGTTTCCGCAAGGATTCTCTGGTGTTGAACACACCGCTAAGGATTTTCTAGTCACGTGTTTCTTTCAGCGATGTTTTATTGGGTTGCGTAGCAACCTTATACATTCGTTTTCACTTTTAGGTTGGCTGATGTGAACAGTGATAACCCTCCAAGATTTTGGAAGAAAACACTGTTCACATAAGTTACCCTACAAGTGAAACCAAATGTGTCCAATCATCCATAATCGTCGATAAGTACGGCGAATGGAATAATTGGACAATCTCTCAGTACGAATGACGAAACAAAAAAAAACAAACAAAAAAACTAATCAGCATGACGATCTGAAAGCACACACACGATGCATTCGACACACTCCGAAACAGACACAAACTACCTGACCGCACACGAACTTGCTAAAAAGCGTTTGACAATCAAGAATGTGTCAAGGCTAATGCTAAATGCATCGATGATGATGCAACAGAGGTTGATATGGTGCGGAAGGGGCGAGCAAAGCTGCCCCACCGACGATCACAACCCCAGTTGCATACACGAGGCACTCAACACCAATCCCCGGAACAGACACAAATGACAACACACAAACTTGCACAAAAGCGCTGAACACTAAACAGTTGTGAATGCTTCAAGGCGAATGCTAAATGCATCGATGATGCAACTAAGGTTGATATGGTGCGGAAGGGGCGAGCAAAGCTGCCCCACCGACGATCACAACCCCAGTTGCATACACGAGGCAATCAACACCAATCCCCGAAACAGACACAAACAACACCAACATGTATGGACATACACATGCAAGCTCACTCACACACACCTACACACACACACACCTACACGCACACGCATACAAACACAAAAGCTTACTACCGCTATTGAACATGCAATGCAAGCGTAACGAATGAGCCCAGCCTGTATAAATAATCGTTAATCTGTCCCAGATTCCCCTCCCTCCCTCCCTTCTCTCCCATCCCCCCCTCCCTTCCAATATCCCCTATTTTCTTCGACCCTCCCGTCTCTGTTTACCCTCTCTCAACCCACCCCCCCCCCCCTTTCTCCACAAGAAAAGCCAAATAGTGCAGCTTGAACTCCCTGCACAAGAAAGCATAAACAGCACAAACAGCGCATGCAACTCACACTCCCTGGACAAGAAAGCAAAAACAGATAGTGCAGCTGACACTCCCTACACAAACAAAAACATGTCAGAACATTATAGCTTAATTATTTGTGTAGGCTATAGTGGGGTATCCCATAGGGGGTACAACCCAATTAGGGTTTCCTATTTGTACTCACTTCGTTCATAGTCATTTTCATTCTCGTTCAATTCATCTCATGGAATCAGAGCAGGTCCCCTCCTAGGGACTGTTCCTAGGGCCCACCGAAGCGCGCCCCGAGGCGCGCGTTTTTTTTTTAGCGACCCTACGTGTCGCCCTTTCCTACGCGATCCCGCCGCCCTTTAGTCGCGGCCCCGCTTTGCCCCGTCGGGCCCACTACGGCCCCTCTTACGCCCCGCTACGGCCCCGCTTAGGCCCCGTCGGCCCCGCTTAGGCCCCGCCACGGCCCCGCGTCGGCCCCGCTTAGGCCCCTTCGGCCCCACTACGGCCCCGCGTCGGCCCCGCTTAGGCCCCGCTACGGCCCCGCGTCGGCCCCGCTTAGGCCCCGTCGGCCCCGCTTAGGCCCCGTCAGCCCCGCTTAGGCCTCGCTACGGCCCAGCGTCGGCCCCGTCGGCCCCGCCTCCGCCTCGCTACAGCCCCGTCGGCCCCATCGCCCCCCCCCCCTAGGCCCCGCCGACCCTGCTACGGCCCCGCTACAGCCCCTCGTCGGCCCCGCTACGGCCCCGCTACGGCCCCGCTTAGGCCCCGCTGCAGCCCCGCTACGGCCCCCATTGCGGCCCCGCCGCCTCTCTCGCTGCGGCCCCACCGCCCGTGCTGCAGCCCGCCGCGCCACCCGTGCAGCCGCCCGTGCGCCGCCCGTGCAACCGCCCGTGCAACCGCTCGTGCAGCCGCCCGTGCAGCCGCTCGTGCAGCCGCCCACCGTGCCGCCCGTGAGCCGCCTCAGCCACCCGTGAGCCGCCCGTGCAGCCGCCCGCGCCGCCCGTGAGCCCCCCGCGTCACCCGAGCCGCGCGAGCCGCCCGAGCCGCGCGAGCCGCGCGAGCCGCCCGAGCCGCCCGAGCCACCCGAGCCGCCCGAGCCGCCCGAGCCGCCCGAGCCGCCCGAGCCGCCCGATCAGTCCACGGTGCCGGGAGCCGGATCCTGTGGGCCTGCTGCTACTGCTGGGCCGGCGGAGTTGCTGAGCTGCTGTGTTGCTGTCCTACTGAGCTGCTCGACCCTTCTTCTCTGGTGAGACTGTCGGCTGCTATCATGGCCACCCCCAGTGTCCTGGCCTTTGACGCTGAGGGTCGCGCCATTGACTTTGCGGTCTGGGTCGAGGACCTGCAGCTGTACTTGCAGTGCGATTCAGTAGATGACATCTCTCTCTTTGACTTTGCCTCTGGCGCTGTCCCTGCCCCTCCTGCTGATGCTGACCCCACTGTTCGCTCCAAGTGGGCCACACGCGATGCTGCTGCACGTCTTGCTGTGCGTCGCCACCTCCCTTCCTCCGAGCGTGCCCACTTTAGTCAGTGCAAGACCGCTCAGGCCTTGTACGACGCTGTAGTTGCGCGCTACTCCTCCCCTTCCACTGCTACACTGAGCCGCCTCATGCTACCGTACCTCTTCCCTGACCTTGCTGCCTTTCCCACAGTCACTGACCTCTTTACCCACCTTCGCGCTAGTGACACTCGCTACCGAGCTGCGCTTCCTGCTTCCTTCCTCGCCGAAAACCCCCCTCCCATGTACATCACCCTCTACTTTCTAGTCACCCGTCTCCCTGAGTCCCTTCGTGCCGTTAGGGACCAGTTTCTCTCTGTCTGTCCCACCACCCTCACTGTCGACCTCCTCGAGAAGTCCCTGCTAGCGGCAGAGAAGAGCATAGTCGCTGTAGGGGCCTCTCGTGGTGACCCGCGCACCCCCATCTTTGAGGGGTGTTCTCCTTCCCCCCTGTTACCCTCTGTCGCCTCTGCTGCTGCGGCCGACCTCGTTGGTTTAGAGTCGGTCGGTGCGGCGTCTGCCCCCAGCGGTAGGCCCGGCTGTGGCAGGAGCAAGGGGGGCAAGGGAGTGGGTGGAGCTAGCGGGGGCGGTGGCGGAGGAGGTGGGGGCGGCGGGGGGAGTGGGGGTGGCGGTGGGGGTGGAGGCGGGAGTGGAGGTACTGGTGGCGGCAGTGGAGGCGGAGGTGGCGGCGGAGGTGGTGGCGGAGGTGGCAGTGGGAGCGGCGGGGGCGAGGGTGGTGGTGGCGGCGGTGGCGGCGGAGGCGGGGGTGGCGGTGGTGGAGGTGGTCGGAGTGGCTCGTCCCAGAGGAGCAGCACTGGGGGTGGTCAGCGCCAGCAGCAGCAGCAGCAGCAGCGCTCTCGCGACGTCCCCCCCCCTCAGCAGCTCCGTGAGTGGTACTCACAGCGTCAGCGTGGTGGGGCGTTCGGTCCCTGCACCTACGTCCTTCGCACCGGCGACCGCGCGGGTGAGCAGTGTGGGGGCACCCACACCGCCCGCCGCTGCTTCGCCCGCTTGACCGACGCTTGGCGCCAGCAGTTTCCGGAGGCCTCTGAGATCCCCCGCTGGGGAGAGCTGTCTAGGGCTGGTGTAGCTATCTTTGATCTTGACTTTGATGCTATCCTTGCTGCTATGTATGCTGTGACTGTTAGTGATGAGGGTGACTGTTACCGGTGTTTCCCGCCCGACCCGGGCATTGGTACTGCTGCGTCAGGTGCTAGTGAGGCTGCTGCTCTAGGTGCAAGTGCGTCTGTGCTCTCAGGTACTAGTGAGTCTGCCCTCTCAGGTACTGTGTCGGCTTCTGCCTCTCACACCTTCACCCTTGACGCTGGAGCGTCTCGCTCCTTGTTTCGGGACAGCACCACTCTCACGCCGCATAGTCGGCCGGTTGCGGTGTCTTTGGCTGACCCCTCTGGGGGTCGTGTCCTGTCTCGTTTCTCCACAGTCCTCCCGTGTCCGGCGGCTCCCTCTGGCACCCTGACTGGTCTCTACCTCCCCTCGTTCTCTACGAACCTGGTGAGTGGTGCTGACCTACAGGATGTGGGTGTCCACCAGTTCACTCCTGCTCGTCAGCGAGTGACACACTGCACAGAGGCTAGCACAGGTCGCAACCTGGCTACGTTTACACGTCAGCCAGGGTCGAGCCTGTACACACTGACCACTACTTCTCCTCCCGGTGCTGAGTCTGGTAGAGTCCCCTCGTCTGGTCAGGTGTTTGCTGCAGCGTCCAGGTCTGGTCCTGAGTCTGCCCCCTGTTCGTGTCGCCGTCTGTCTCACGAGAATCACCTCTGGCACCACCGCCTTGGCCACCCCTCTCTGCTTCGGCTCAGAGGCATGGCCTCCCGTCTTCTTGTGTCTGGTCTCCCCCGGTCCCTCCCTCCCCTTCCTCAGGGCCCTGGCCCTGCCTGTGTCCCCTGCGTCGAGGGGCGCCAGCGTGCTGCCCCTCACTCCTCCCAGTTTCCTCCGACAGAGGCTCCGTTGCAGACGCTTCACATGGACGTGTGGGGCCCTGCCCGCGTCCGTGGACTCGGTCACGAGCGCTACTTCCTGTTGGTGGTTGACGACTACTCGCGTTACACCACAGTCTTCCCCTTGCGCAGCAAGGGTGATGTCACTGAGGTGCTGATCGACTGGATCCGCGCAGCTCGTCTCCAGCTCAGGCGGAGCT